GTTTTTACCGAGACTTTTTGAAAGTAAGTCCCGGATCGCTTTGGAAGGGCCAGACTTCCTCCCGTATTTGAATGGACAAAAAGTGAAATGTTTTGGAGCTGTGAAAAACAGGAACATATTTTATTTAAGGAAACTTAAGTGTTACGTTCACAGAAATTATGCTGCGGTCAGATTCAGTGGGAGGCTGCCCAGTGTTTGGAAGAGCTCTTCTGTGAGCTTGTGGAGGTGCTCGTGCTGGCTGGAGTGTCCTGGGTAGGTATCCTGGTAGCTGACCAGAGCTCTGGTCTCTCTTCCTGGTCTGCGCCAAGAGATCCCACCTCTCCTGGGGAGCCTATGAGTAATGTGTGGCAACGGCGGGGGATCTCCTGGGGCCTCTCTTCCATTCAGCACAAAACTTCTTCCACCCTGGGGCGTAGACGCGATAGTCAGTGCATCACGTCTAACCCTTTTCATTTCTGCAAACTTGAGACCAAAAACAGGAACAAGTCTTTGTATATCTGGCAGGAAAAAAGCTTTATTTTTCAGGACCTTTTTTTTTTTTTTTTAAAAGAATCTTTTCTAATGTCGAACGCGCACAGGCCCGACCCGCCACGCATCCCCCTGCCCGGTGGCTGTGCTCCTATCCAGCATGCCAGCCTCGTCCCGGACCAGCCCCTCTCTCTCCCTGCACAGGCCTGGCGGCGGTTTTGCTTCTGGTGGTTTTGTGTCCCCTGCAGTACTGGTGTCTCCGCGTTGGGGTATCGTATCGTATCTTGGGGTACGTGAGGGGCTCCGTGATGCTCCCTCACCCCCAGCCACCTCTGCCCATCCGAGCCCCCCCCCGGAGCAGGACAGAGGAATGGCCTCCAGCTTCCATTCCCCCCCCTGTGGCGACACCACTCTTGTTCATGTGCCCAGAAACGGGAAGACGAAATCCCTTTGGCGTCAGATGGTGGAAACCTCAGTTCCCACACAGCAGTGTTCGATAACCCCGTGCGTGTGTGAAGAGAGAGAAAACAGTCCCTGGCCGAAACACTGGGATGTCCGGTAGAAGTAAACGGGATCTCTCGGTGCGGAGGATGCCTGTTTGGGCATGAGAGGGCAGGAGCCACATTTCCATCTCGCTCTCGGGCTCGAAAGGCTCCCAGCTGAGACAGGCTGGGCCGCGCTTTTCTTAGGCTCTTCCCACCATTCCCCTGGCCCTCATCCTCGCGGCAGCTGGTTACGGCTGTCCTCGATGACCGGGGAGGGACAGGATGGGGCTGCAGCCGTTTCAGAGCCTTGTGGAGTTAAGGCCCGGGCCCACTCAATCTGCTCTTCAGAGGGGGTAGAAGACGGGCCTTTGGGGTTCCTAATGTTTTGGCCTGCGAGTGGTGCAGGAGGTGCTTTTTGGCTGTGCTAGGCTTCCCGAGTTAGTAAAGGGGAATGTTCTTTTGGCGGGGGAAGAGGGCGAGTGTGTGTTGAACGCAGCCAGAGAGAATCTTAATAGTGCTGGGGGGGGGGACTGTTGTGCATACAGATCTACACGTGTAAAAGTTCAAAGGTTTAAAGAAATGTAGTGCATGCAGGGCTTGCATCCCCTTATATTTAAATACCTCTGCTCCCCATGTTGGTTAAATGGCGTCAAGTGCCCTGCTGCGGTTCACGGCTCTGTTCAGGCTGGGCCGCGGCACGGAGCCCGGCTCTGTGCCACTCTGCTCTGTAACCCCCCCCAGTTGCAGACTCACTGCGTGCTTCCTCCTGCTGAACACAACGTCAGCCCAGCAGCTCTCGGCCACCAGGGATGTGTGTCTTGGGACCGAGGCGGAGCAGCTGATCCCAGCTGTCACATGTCCTTACAGAGCCCCTGCAGCAGGCATGACCCCCCCGGGGCAGTGTATGGAAATGGGAATCATGTTTTTTTTTTCCCCTGAAGGTGCCGATGTTCACCAGCTGAGTGATGCAGAATTGACTAATTTGATTGTAGCGTAAAGTACTGTGACCACTTCTTTGAGGGCAGCTTTTGCTAGAACCCTGGTCTATTTTCTTGGAATAATAAAAAACAAAAGTATTAACGAAGCTTTCTCAAGTATTCGTCTGTTCTCAGAAAGCTGCTTTTTCCTGGGAAGGACTGGGGCAGTTTTTTTTGTTGTTTTGTTCCGTGGTCAGAAATGCTCAGGAAAAGCGAGGAGGCTGCTACCAGCACCTGGAACAGAGAATGCCAGGCTTCTCCGTGTCCATGGGCCTGGGTTCACCAGCGTGCTGGCCCTGCTTGAGTGGAGGTAGGGAGTCACCATCTGTTAATGGATGAGTCAGCCTCATATTAGCTATGCAAGTGTGTGTGTGTGTGAGATGCACAGAGAGAGAACCTTTCTGATGCTCCAGTTGCACTTTGTAAAGGGAACAACCCCACGCTGGTTGAAAATACAACACTTTTCAGCTGGAGCTTCATTGGAATTTATTTTTTTAAAAGAGTAAACATCCTGCAGCTCTCACTTCCATCCAGTAGCTCAAAAAGCCAGGTGTATGGTTGTTATTAAAATGGAGCATTCTGAAAAATCATGCAACAGAAAAATCATATGTACAAATTGTAACGTGTTAACTGGGTATTGTAAACATGTCAGTAGGCGTGCTTTGGGATACTGCTATGTTTTCTACAAGGCAAGTAATTGAGAATCCCATCCCAGGACACATGGAGTCTTTCTAGGATGACTGTCCTGGGAGTACAGGCAATTGATGGGGCTCAAAAAATCCATTTTAGCAAAGTATTTTTTCCTGGAAACAAATGCCACCTTAAATTTTTTGAGAAACAAAAAGCTCCCTGCACAAACACTGTAACAACAGAATGCTGAGAGACTGAAGTGATCAATGAGCAATCAGAATTTAAAATAACTTATGACAACTCGGGCCGTTTTTGGAACAGTAAGGTTTCAAAAACAGGTTGTCTGTGGCGATTCAAAGATAATGCTTTGTACTTTGACCCCTTCTCCCCTTTTAAGAAAATCAGCTTTTGCTTCCTATACAGAAAGTATCCCTTTGGTTTTAACCACATGGAGCCTCAGGACAAGCAAAGCAGCCAGACAGGATAAACCTTCCTAAGAGAGAGCAGATAAGGGGGGAGTATAATAGTGTTTTTTTTCCTGTTCTGAAATACATGTCTGGGTGGGGAAAAAAAGGGTCCGAAAGCCCAGCAGATGTTTGAGCACAGCTGTTCCAGGGTGAACGGGCGAACTCACACCCACAAGACCCGATTCCGGATTCGGGAATTCCCCCTTGGTGCTCCGGGAGTCGATCCCCGTCAGGGATGCTCGGTACTAAGGGGGGTGGGGAAAGAAGATGCTGTAGTGAACATGGGGTACAGGGCTCGGCCCTCGGAGCGTCGGCCCCGTTCCTGGGGGAATCCGAGTCGGATATCGACAATCGGATTGGGGCCGAACTGGACTCCCGATTCGTGATTCGCCTCCCGAGGAGTTTTTTTTTTTTTTTAATCCCTGATCCTACCGCTTTCGGTTTAAATTTCGGTTTTCATGGGACATTTCTTCCTGTTTCCAGCTGCGGGTAGTTCGTTATCCCCGCGGAGGCGCCGTTAGGAGGGCTGCCGATACCGGGGTCACAGGGATCTGGATTGGGGGGGTCTCGGTCCTGGAGAAGTGGACACGGGCCCCTCCTGCATGTTCCCCCCCCCGCGCATCGTCTCCTAGGTCCAGATGATGGCGCTGTGAACGGCGGTGGGCGCTCTGGCCAGGCTCTCCTCTCTCTGCTCCGGTGAAGGACTTGGGGGGGGGGGCATCTTAATGGCAGTTCTGGCAGTTGGGGTGACAAGGTACCCCGTTCACTCTGCATCTGCAGCCACCTGACGTGTCCCCCTGACCCTGCAGTCAAAACCAGAGCACTGTTGGAACACTGTGTAGTTGTGTGAAGGGATTCAAAACATCCTCTGTGCAGTGGAGGATTATCGGATATAAATTCATCTCTATGGTGAATGGGAAACATGCAAAGGTTTATTCCCTGCTGAACGGAAAAGAACGTTGTCTCTCTCTTCTTCTCTTTTCAGCAGGGAATAAACCTCTACCTGTTCCTTTGCAGCCTACACATGCTGACGCAGCTCCCTTCCTGAACTTTATGGTGGATGTTTATGTCTTAGCCCCTCTGTCCTGGGTGAGGCTAGGTGTTTAAGAGAGAGACCACTGCAAAGTGTGTTAAATGTGTTCAGGAGTTGGACAACGATGGGAGTCCGTCTATAATAAAGCAATAATAATGTGAGAGAGGACTGGGGTCCTGCTGTAAGTGACCCTGCAGCAGCAGTTACTGATGCTCAGTTCACCTCATGGCCCCTGGAGTTCTCCCTGGATAAGTGAAGCAGCCGAGTTGTATCACCACTGGCTTTTAGATACCAACTTGTGAGGATCCATCACAGTCTGAGGGCAGCTTAAAAACCGTCGTCATGTCTTGGAGAAGTGCGCCAAGGAGTTGGGTAATTCCGGTAATACAGCGAGTAAAAAAACAAACAAACAGGAAAGGCGTCTTGCCTGCGGCCCCCAGCGCGGCCCCCTGGTCACCCAGCAGATCTCCGTCTTGCACATCAGGCAGCAGATCCAGTCGCACCCGTCCTTCTTCTGCACGATGACCTGGCAGCGGGGGCAGTGCATGGCCTCGCCGCTCTCCACCATCGCCTGCAAGGCACAGCCCCGTCAGCCCCCGGGCCCAGCCCAGACCAGCCCCGCCCAGTGACCCCAGCTCAACATGGACACCCTCAGGGTGGGGCAGCTTGGGGGGAAACGGCTATAGTGCGTCTAAACCCGGATTCTCCTCGAATCTGACGGAATCTTGTTAAATGTGCAGCAATATAAGACACAGATTTGTCCAAATCTAGTAATGGTATATATAGGACAGTGAAATGAAGGAGGTACATCTTGGATTGACATGCACTGAGAGGGGGGGGGGGAGAGGCTCTTCCGGAATGCGGAAAGCGAGGGGTTAACGCCGCCGGGTCCTGACCTTGAGCATCTCGCTGGTCTGCCTGGCGGCGACGTCGTTCTGGGCCCGGACGCGGAGGTCGTCCTGGTACTCCCTACAGTTCATCCCCTCGTGGATGGCCTGGCGGGCGGAGACAAAGCAGAAAAGCCCCGCGGTTTTGAGAGGCCCTCCGCGTACGGACCCAACCCTCCGCATCGCGCCAGCGGGACCCGTCCGGTATGACCGAAACGTCTGGAGGAACGCGGGATTCGGATTCACGCGGTCTGAGCTGAAAGCGCATGCCCACCGAGGCCTGTTGGAGGACTGTGCAAACAAAAGCTTCAGTCCAGCGCTGAGCT